TTTATTTATTTATTTATTTATTTTGTATATGTGTGTATGTGGGATTGGTGTGGGCACAAGTGTGCCACAGTGCATATGCGGAGGTCAGAGGAAATCCTGTAGCAGTCAGTTTTTCCCTTCTACTATGTGGGTCCCAGGGATGGAACTCAGGTTATTAGCCTTGATTGACATCAAGAGCCTTTACCCATTGAGCCATCTCCCCAACCCATCTATCCATTCTTAAAGTTCTTGCAGAGGTAGATACTCCAGTTTTTTGTTGTTTTCCTAATTTACCATTGTGATTCTAGCCTGTGTGTTACCCTGGTCTCCTGATATTTTGGGGAGAAATGGGGCACATAATGAGATGTCCAGCAGCCTTCCTCGCCTCTCTCTACTGGATGCTATAGCAATCCCCTTCCACTTGTGACAAGCAAATGTGTACCCAGTGATTTCTCCAGCACTGCATCCTAAGTGTCAGTCACAAATAGCAGCTAGGCAAGCGTTTACTAGAAGAATGGAAGGGTTGGTGGCCTCACACCCCATGCCACTACCTAGATGACCAGTCTCTGGAAAGAGTCCCTTCCTTCCTTCCTTCCTTCCTTGATTTCTGTTGCTTTTAGGTATGGGGAGTAGGCCCCACATCCAGACAAACTGTCCACTGTCCTTGAGGCTGCTCAGGACAGGGACCAAGGTCAGACCTCTTTTTCTGCCCCTCCACCTCGTTAGTCTGCCTTGTTGCCTTCCAGGTGCCTCTCTGCAGTCCTCCAACACTACCTCGTGGGCAGGAGCTCCAGGCTGGGGGGTACCTCACCCTCTTCTCGTGATTGGGGATGATGCAGCGCACAAAGTTAGGCGTGGTGTTGTGCAACGTAGTCATCAGCTTCCCTAGCTGTTCTTTGTAGAGCTGGCCCACAGTGCGGAACATGCCTTTCTTAGTCTTGGACGCACTAGGCAGTGAGCTCTCAGTCATCTTGGCCATCTGGTCCAGGCCCACAATGCGGTCCACTGTGGGGTACATGAAGGATGACATCAGCCTCTGGGCCCCTTCAGGGGTCCTACACTCTTGTCACAAACCAGACGACGAGACTGTGAAGATGGTGGTCGGGGAGGTGTTCCTAGACCCTATCTGGGGGTACCGTTCCCATTTTTCTCTGTGATGGTCAGGTGTTTCCACCTCTAGCTGAGGTAAGGGCCTCGAAGTAGTGTCAATTTGGGCATCCTTGAGAGCACCCGAGTGGTAGATGAACCAGTGTCCTCTCAAAGATCACAGAGACCGAAGGAGTCAGTTTCGTTCTTGGTGCTAACTCACTAGGTAGCCTGGCCCTGGACCATGCTGTGCTTCAGTTCCCTTCTCTGCAATGGCAGCAATAGCAGCATCTAATTCATTTATTTATTTATTATGTATACAATATTCTGTCTGTGTGTATGTCTGCAGGCCAGAAGAGGGCACCAGACCTCAGTACAGATGGTTGTGAGCCACCAGGTGGTTGCTGGGAATTGAACTCAGGACCTTTGGAAGAGCAGGCGATGCTCTTAACCACTGAGCCATCTCTCCAGCCCCCCAGCATCTAATTCCTAAAGATGGAATATGACCACAAGGCCTAGAAAGCCCTGACCTCCATAGTAACCTTCAGTACTTACCGAACCCTAGGGAATTTGCTGAGAACTGACTATGGATGGCGTAAGCACACAACAAAGGCCCTGTCCACTTCAGCTCATAGGTTACCCATCTCTGACAGGAGGAGGCAGACAATGCAATGTAGCAGGTGGGCAGGTATGCTTAGAAAAGTTAAGGATAAAGGGAGGGGGAGAGGAAAAGGAGTGAGAAGAGAGAAAAAGGGAGAGGAGAAGAGGATGGGGGAACAAGAGGGAGAGAAGGAGTGACTTCCCGAGACAGGGTGATAGGGAGTGTCTGTCTAAGAAGCTGATCTTTCAGCAGATACAGAACCAAGCAATGACTATCATCACTGTGGAAACGAATGCATACGTGTCCAATGAGAAAATCCTTGGTATAAGTGATAAGTGCTCTGAGGAGGACTGAGCAGATGTAAGTGCTCAACAGCCAAGACACCAGTGGGCAATATTATCACCACAGAGGAGCTTTGCTTTGGGCAGGTGCTCTGCCACATAGCCATAGCTTCCCGTTTCTTCTTTAGAATGGAATAAGAAGTGCCCACTGGTACAGCAGGTGCCACCATCATGGCCAGTTGATGTAGCACTGGATGGAGCCAGAGCCTCCTATATGTCCAAGCTCCAGCAGCAGCCTGGGATTTAATAGGGAGACCCTGGTGCAAGGCTGCATACCAGCAAAGAGAGCCAACCTCATGCAACTCCTAAAGTAAGCAAGACGTGGTAGAGACCCAGTTTACAAATGAGGACATCCAAGCTTAATAGTTAGGCAGTACATCCAAAGTCACAGTTCATAGACAAGATGTAAAGTCCTTCTGACTTCATCATGTCTAGTTAACCCTCTTCCTGGACCCTGACACAGGACCTTCTTGGTGAATCCAGGAATGAGATGGAGGAGCTCAGTGTCCCTCATTTAAGAAGATCGTGAACTGAATTTTCGAGGGAAAGAAGGGCAGATCTGTGTTAAAGATTCTAAAGGGCTATTATAAAATGGGGCACTGAGCTGAACAGAGATCTCTCAACAGAAGAAGTTCAAATGGCCAAAAGACACTTAAGGTCATGCTCAACTTCCTTAGCGATCAGGGAAATGCAAATCAAGACAACTTTAAGATACCATCTTACACCTGTCAGAATGGCGAAAATCAAAAACACCAATGATAGCCTTTGCTGGAGAGGTTGTGGAGAAAGGGGTACACTCATCCATTGCTGGTGGGAATGCAAACTTGTGCAACCACTCTGGAAAGCAGTGTGGAGGTTTCTCAGGAAATTTGGGATCAACCTACCCATGGACCCAGCAATACCACTCTTGGGAATATACCCAAGAGAGGCCTTATCACACAACAAAAGTATATGCTCTACTATGTTTATAGCAGCATTGTTTGTAATAGCCAGAACCTGGAAACAACCTAGATGCCCTTCAATTGAAGAATGGATGAAGAAAGTATGGAATATATACATATTAGAGTACTACTCAGCAGTAAAAAACAAGGACTTCTTGAAGTTTGCAGGCAAATGGATGGAAATAGAAAACACTATCCTGAGTGAGGTAAGCCAGACCCAAAAAGAGGAACATGGGATGTACTCACTCATATTTGGTTTCTAGCCATAAATAAAGGACATTGAGCCTATAATTCGGGTTCTTAGAGAAGCTAAATAAGAAGGAGAACCCAAAGAAAATCATATAGGCATCCTCCTGAATATTAACCTTCATCAGGCGATGAAAGGAGACAGAGACAGAGACCCACATTGGAGCACCGGACTGAAATCTCAAGGTCCAAATCAGGAGCAGAAGGAGAGAGAGCACAAGCAAGGAACTCAGGACCGCGAGGGGTGCACCCATACACTGAGACAAGGGGGATGTTCTATCGGGAACTCACCAAGGCCAGCTGGCCTGGGTCTGAAAAAGCCCGGGTTAAAACCGGTCTCGCTGAACATAGTGGACAATGAGGACTACTGAGACCTCAAGAACAATGGCAATGGGTTTTTGATCCTACTGTACCTATTGGTTTCGTGGGAGCCTAGGCAGTTTCGTGGATGCTCACCTTACTAGACCTGGATGGAGGTGGGTGGTCCTTGGACTTCCCACAGGGCAGGGAACCCTGATTGCTCTTTGGGCTGACGAGGGAGGGGGACTTGTTTGGGGGACGGGGAGGGAAAGGGGAGGCGGCGGTGGGGAAGAGACAGAAATCTTTAATAAATAAATAAATAAATAAATTAAATGTAAAAAAAAAGATTCTAAAGGGCTAACAGATTGGTAATTATGGAGACCTGAAATGTTAGAGATGCAGGGTTTAATCATCTTGGGCCATCTTTAGCCCCTAACTGGCCATTTATTGTCTACATCCATGCATGACCTAATATTTATCTATCACAGACAGGTTGGGGCTGTCTTAACAGACCACCAGTTTCCACTGACCCCAAAGCTAAGCATGTCATCAGGTCCCCACAAGAGTCCTTTAAAGATTACCTTGATTATTCTAGAACATTAAAACCTCATGAAACCATTTCCACATTGAGGCCAGCCATTTGGGGTATCCTGAGCCTGTGATTTCCAGCCACAGCCACTCATACTTGGCTTAGGATAGATTCTTACTTCCTTTACAGGGGGAAGTGTGTGCTGTACAGACAAGGCTGTTTCAGTGTGGTAGCATTAGCATGTGACAGTCTGCTTCTCTTCCAGGCCCCACACGAGGCCTCCCAGTTTGTGGCACATGTAGGAACTAGGGCAGTAGGTCTGGGGTGTTCAACCAGATCAAAGCGGCCTCCAGGGCAGGAAGAACTTACCATCCTTCCACAGGTCAGCAACAAACTTGTCAGAGGAGGCATTGAGGAGTGAGGTCACGTTGTCATTTAGCGGGTCCATGTTCTTGGTCAGCCAGGCAGCTGCATTATAGTCCACCTGCCAAAAGCCACGCTGGCATCAGGCTGCCTGTCTCTGAAACCCACCACAAGGCCCAAATCCTCCATGTTCTTTTCACATCTCTAGACCTTAAATGGGAAATAGTATTTTTTAGGTTGCCATGATGGGTCTCCACTGACATCAAGGAAGAGACAAATAGGTCAGAATCTTCAGGGACCCTACACATAGTAGGGCATTCACCAGTGGCAAATCAGTGCCAGAAGAAACTCTTGCTGTTCTGTCCACAGAGGAGCTGCCTTTTGCCACAGTCTCACACTAAGCCCCGAAAATGACCAAGGAAGATAATGGTGACAAAAGTTGTCCTAGACACCTCGTGTTTCTCCTATTCCAGGGCAACTGGACAGGACTCCTCAGTCTTAAAGTCAGCCAGGGACGTCTTTCCCACAGTCTGAGGAATAGGGTTGGTTCTACTGGACTTCATCATAGCACAGGGGATTGAACCTAGGAAGTCAATCAGGGTAGGTGCCCTAGTCTGTTTTCTGTTGCTGAGATAAAACACACTGACCAAAGCAGCCCAGGGAAGGAAAAGTTTATTGGCTTACAATTCCAAGCTATAGTCCATCACCAGGAACAGTCAGGCCCGGGACTCAAAGTACCACATCCACTGAGAAGGGCACAGAGAAGCAAATGTGCCTATGCTGCCTGTTTCTGCACCTACCTTTCTCCTGTTGCTCATGAGGTGGTGCCACCCACATGCAGGGCAGGTCTTTGCACCTTAATTAACAATCAACACAATTATCCCCAGCCCAACATGCCCACAGGCCAACTTGACCTAGGTAATTCCTCAGTTGAGATTCTCTTCCAAATGATTCAAGATTTGAGAGTAACCTTCATGTAGGCCAGTGCTCCAGCACTGACTGACAGCCCTAGGCTGCTAGCTTAGAGGTCTTTATACATGGATATATGGAAAAGGACACTGAAGGCTTTTGAAAATCCCTGACTTGCTTAATGTCCAAATTTAACGCCTGTGACTACAGCACAGTATGGACCGACAGCACAGCTCTGGTGCATTGTAATGGGATGTGGTTTCTATGGTGATATGGTGACAAGACTGAAAAACAACCACATAGGAACCTGGGCAAAGTGCTACCAGCAGATGCTTAAAGGAGCATAAGCTTTACTGAAAGTATAAAGTAGGAGGCAAAGAGGCCACAGTACAAATATTTCTAGCTTGGTGGGCTATACAGTCTGCCACAATGCTCAACTCTGCCCTTGTAACATCAAAGAAACCAGAGATCTTATGGAAACAAATGGGCCTGGCTGTGTTCCAATCTTGGCCAGCAGCCTAGTTTGTATGAATGGGGCAGTGCCTGTTCCCATGATGCAACGAGGGATACTAGAAGGGTGACAAAACAATTTTATAAACCAGAACAAGCTATGGCTTCTCTTTTCTTTCTTTAAATACTTATTTATAAGTATGGATGTTTTGCCTGTGTGACCCTGTGTGCTGTGTGTGTACAGTGCCAGCAGAGGCCAGCGGTGGCTTTTATATGCTATTCAGGACACACTAATATCCAAGATGATGGTGGTGGTGATGGTGACAATATTGACAACAATGGTAAAGACTTCCACAGATGGAACACAATGGTGATGCCAGGGGTTCTTGTGAATTAGAGAAGATCCACTGGTCCCTCACTTCAAGGGCCTTGCCTATGGGGTTTGCCATGGAGCAAGCAGTATTTGAAGTCTTCCCAGGGAAGACTATCCTGGTTAGGACAGTTGACATACCTCAGAGATGCTCACTCTCACTACTGACTGAGGCTTAGACAATGAGCCTCTAGCTGGGAACTGACTTGCAATACGTCTCTGGAGGGTACAGCCTTTGTCAAAGCATCTTTGTGTAAATGCCCACCCTCAGGACAGAGCACCCCTCAAGAACCTTGACCAGTACCTTCCCAGCATAGTGGATGATGGAGAATTCAGTTTTGTCCTTTAACTGCTTGGGCTTCTGAAATTTGGGGTGGTTGCCCTGCTCTGAGCACAGCTTCTCCACAAAAGACTTGTCCGTGGCTTTGGGGAACCAGCACTCTTCATCCAGTAAGGCCAGCACACCTGGAGGGTTGTTCTGGAACACAGGAGAGTAGGATCACCACCAGGCTGGGACATCACCAGGCAGGGTCACTACCAGGCTCACTGGGAAGGGACAACCATTCAGATGCCACAAACACAACCAGGTATGGTGGCACAGGACTAGAATCCTGGCAAAAGTGTGAAAACAAGTTCAAGGCCAGGCTTGAACTTGAACTACATTGGACACTATCTCAAAAAATTATTTCCCTCTCCAAAAAGAGAGAGGTCACACAGAGGAGAGACACTGCTACTTTGTTTTGCTTGTCAAAGGTCAATCCATGTCCTCTTTCCTCCACCCCATGAGAACTACCAGGACACAATGCTTGCTGCTGCTTATGCTGGGCAATATACAAACACACAAAGATGGCATTCCCCTCTCCCACTTTGAGTGGGGATAGAACTCAGGCTAAAGCCTGCTAGGCAGGACCCCATCACTGAGCTATATTTCCAGCTATATTGGTTTGGTTTAGTTTGAGACACAGCATCCTAGGTTCTCAGACAGTTTGAGACACTATAACCCAGGCTGCTATAATCAGTCAACACTTGATGTGGGATTCCCCTCTGTAGGCTATGAAAATGTTTTATTGCTATTGATTAATAAAGAAGCTGTTTTAACAGAGTAAAGCCAGGGGAAAATCCAAACAGGGATGTAGAGAGAGAGTAGGTAAAGGCAAAGAAAAGCCACGTAGCCATAGAAGGAGAAAGACATCTGCCACTGCTGGCCAAACTTTGCCGGTAGGCCATAACCTCATGGTGATGCACAGATTAATAGAGATGGGCTAATTTAAGATGTAAGAGCTACCTAGAAATATGCATAAGCTAACAGGCCAAGCAGTGTTTTAATTAATACAGTTTCTGTGTGATTATTTTGGGTCTGGTTGGCTGGGAAACAAATAAACAGTCTCCACCTACAAACACTAGACTCAAACCTCCAGCATTCTTCCTGCCTTAGCCTCTTGAGTGCTGGGATTAGGTGTGAGCCACTACACCCAGTTAAGATTACACAAGAATCTCAAAAGAATCTGTTGCTTTACTTCCTTATAAATTTACCCAGGATCCCTTTCAGCAAAGTTTTTCCTGTCTGAGAAGGTCTAAATGAAGGTGTTGGTCTGTACCATTCACCCTGGGAGAACTGTCTTCACGTTGATGATTCCAGCTCACAGAACTATTTCCTGATTGTCTTCCATAGTGCCTTGGTGAAGTGTTGGTTTGGTTTCACCACTGGCTCTTCCAGGAGGTGAGGGTCTATACCTATCTTGTTCATAGTTATAACACCAATCCTTAAAGAAGAGGCCCAGCCTGCAGTAACTGCTTGCCTGCTATGACTCTAGAGTTTGGGATACAGTAGTAAACAAATCACAGACTCTTTGGGAATGAATGAGCCAAAGAGAGGAAGAGAAAGACTGAGGGAACTGCATTCTGGTGGTGTATGCTCTAATCCTAGCACAGGAAGCTTGAGACAGAAGAATTGTTATAATTCGACCAGATGTGGTGGTGCATGCTTGAAATTCCAGAACCTGGGAGTTAGAGGCAGAAGATCACAGGTTCAAGCTCATCCTCAACGACAGAGTGAGTTTGAGGTCAACTGGGGCTACAGTAAGACCTTGTCTCAAAAAAACTTATATATGCTAATAAAAATATCTTTAAATTTTAAAGCAATAGAGTACTCGCCTAGCATGGGCAAGGTCCTGAGCTGCAACTGCAGAATTGCTAAAATAATTATTTTGTTGAAGATCAGTGTGACTAATCTCATGACTCACGGTGCTGAGGCAGGAAGACTCTTAGGTTTGAGGCTAGCCTGGTCTACATACGAAGTTCCAAGTGAGTTGGCTCAAAACAGGGGAGGGGTAGCATAAAACAAAGCAACTTTGATTGTAAACATAGACAGCATAGCCTAGTTCCCCAAACTCCATTGACAGCCTTTCAGGACTCGCCAGAGACATCACACATGGAAACAAGCTCTGACTAGGTGTGTACAAATAAATGGGCCAACATGCACAACGCCAGCCCCTCACCGGTCGCTCAATCAGCTCAATACAGGGCTGCAGGTCCAGGCCAAAGTCAATGAAGTTCCACTCGATGCCCTCTCGTTGGTACTCTTCCTGCTCCAGGATGAACATGGTGTGGTTGAACAGCTGCTGCAGTTTCTCATTGGTGTAGTTGATGCACAGCTGCTCGAAGGAGTTTACCTACACGTACACAGAGAGGGAGGGCAGCTGAGCTGGGTGAGATCATAGGGCAGTTCATGTTGCAGGAAGCCCAGTGGCCTGGACCTGGCTTCCTGAAGAGCTTTTCCTGCCACCTGGCACCCAGAGAGGTACAAGACTCAAATAGGACTGTGTAAAGCCCAGGATGCCTGGCAAAAGTGGTCTACACCCCTATCACAGAGCACTTATCTCATATGATCAATATGAGATGAACTAACTATATAAGGCATGTTCTCCTCACCAATTTACAAACAGGGAAACTGAGGCTCAAAGACAGGATGATCCCACAGTAGAGCTCTTTGATAGATCTGTCACCCTCTAGAGCTTCTTTTTCTCTGAGAAATTCCCTCCAACTCATGAGAGTGGGACCCAGGCACTCTGCATATACTATATGAAATATAGGAAGAACTTGAGCTCGGTGATTGGCTGGGAGTTAACCCACTGACTCAACTCAAGTGAGCAGGAACCATTGTGACTTCTACGTCAAGATTTGGGTTGAAGCTCTTAGAAATGAGATCCTCTTTTTTTTTTTTTTTTAAGATTACTAAGTGGCAATCTAGATCTCTGACGCTATCTTGGCACCATGAGAGGAGAGCTATTGGAGGGGAAGCCAATGACGTAGGAAGCAGAGCAGGTAGATCCTGCTTGACTGCCAGCTAATTTATACAAACCAATACATAAATAGTGGATGTATGTCTCTTACACACACTCAAGTATAATCTTAACCAGATAGTTTGCTACCTATAGTGCCTATCTGTATACCTTTCTACAAAATAAGTGTTTCAAAGCCCATCCCAGAGGACCAAGACCATTGATATACCTCAAAGATCTCAAACCCAGCAATATCCAGAATGCCCAGGAAGGAAGCCCCCTGCCGATGGGTCTTATCCAAAGCTTTGTTCACACGGCTGAGGATCCACCGGAAAAGGCGTTCATAGGTGGCCTTGGCTAAGGCCTCAATGGCAAAGTCAGCCTGCAGGACAGTGAAGAAAACACATGTATTGCCAACAGGAAAGTGGCAGAAAGAATGATTAGACTTAAGGAATGGCTGGATAAATAATGAAATACCGCCCATGAGAAAGCCTGTGTAGCCTGTCCCCACCCAGGACCAATTAGAGACTACTAGCCCTGCTTGAAAATATTTCCACAGGTCAGGTCTCTAAGAATCACTGGCGTGTGAGGGACTCAGCTCTCAGTCCACAGTATCCTCAAAGTTGGCATATGACTGAAAATATTTTAGTATTGGATAAATGAAAGATGTAGGGGTGAATGGATGGATAGAGGAACAGATGGATAGGTAGAGGAATAGAGGAATGGGAGATGATTGGCTGGTGGATGAGTGGACTGGTAGAAGGGTTAATGGGTAAAATAAATGGATGTAAAGGAGGGTGGGTGGGCAGGTGAGTGGATGATGGATGGTTGAGCTAATGTGTGGATGGGTGGGTGGGTGATGGATGAACAGATAGCTGGTGATTGGGTGGATAGATGAACATGTTGGTAGATAAATGGATGGCTAGTGGGTGGATGAGTAGATGACATGATATGGAATGACAGGTGCCTGGATGGGTAAACAGCTGGATGTCTGCAGCATAAACAGCATCATTACCTGTTCTTTGGTTTGAGCTTTCTGTACCACATCCCGTCCAACTTTGATACGAGGGGTCAGGATGGCTCTGGTGAAATCTGTCACATTAATTCCCACAAGGTGGCAAACTTTCTGAGCAGCTGTGTGAGGAAAGAAGCATCTTAGCTAAGCCACCAAAGAGAATAGGTAGGTGCCACTGGGACCAGAGGGAGAGGCCACTGTCATCTACACTGTATTTCCCTTTAAAGAAAAAGAAATGCTAGTCACCACCTATATGGAGGTGCACATCTGCCATCCCAACTCTTGGGAGATGGAGACAGGAGCATCTCTGTCCACACAGTGAGTTTGAGCCTTGCATGGGCTATGTGCAACCCTGACTCAAAAAATAAAAGCCAAGCAAATAAAAACAACTGCAAAAGGAAGAAAAAGGAAACTGTAATGTATTTATAAATGTCTATTCTGGTCATAAGCTTGTGGCTTGTCATATTACTGCGTATATTTTTGCATTTAAAAACTTACTTTCAAAACCACACAGAATCATATACTCAGCTGCTTCCTATACATAAAGCCTTGTCTATCCCATGGGGTGTGTGTGTACCCATGTGTGTGTACACATGCCCAGCAGAGAGTCATAAGCTTAGGATTCTTCTACTGCTTCATAAGCTCTCTGCTCAAGTCTTTTTCAGTGAACCCTTCTGGGGAACTGGATCCTGTTCATGTGCTACATTTGGAGAGTACTCCACAATACATGTCCAGTAGGGTGGAAAGCAATACAATACACAGTGGCCTTATGCTCAGCTACCACCAAAAGTGGTGAGAGTCAGGGATCTTCTCAAAAGCACAAAATGTTGAGTATTTTCAAAAAGGTTGCCAGAATCAGTGGAGAAAACCAGAGAAGGGGAACCAGGGTTCTGAGTTAACTATGATTTCCAAATAAACAAAACTTTGTAGTAGAACCTCTTTTTAAAGGTTTTGTTTTTATTTATGTATATGTATGTGAGTACTGAAAAGGGTGATGGGTACCCTAGAGCTACAGGCAGTTGTGAGATAGCAGACTCAGGTGCTGAGAATCACATTGGGATCCTCTGGAAGAGCAGCAAGTGCTCTTAACCTCTCAGCCATCTCTGCAACTCCAAGGAACATTCTGGTGATGGAAAGTGTTTGTAGGGGAAAGCCCAGCCCAATGGGGAGCGTGTTCGCCTCGGGCTAATGTTCTGGCAGGCGTGAGCCCCGCTGGTCCTTTTTTTGTATTTCCTGCTCATCGCAGGATCCCTGGTGTTGTAAGCTATCCCTTCATTAAAATTTGCTGTTTCATACTAAGCTAGCCTGGTTATTATGTGTGCCACCTGTATTTTATCTGCCATTCCTCATTTGCAGGGAACATGAGGCCTGTCTCCTCAGCAAGACTGTGTACCATAAGAAGGGCTGAGTTAACTTTTTCTGCCAGGCAGAGTGTAACTGCTTAGGAAATGCTTATTCAATAAACAAACCATTGGAGGGTTCAGAAGAGATGACCATGAGGACCTGTCTGGCCTGAAACACTGAACTTCTGACTTTGTGCTCTGTGGTCTGCCAGCTATGAAACACTTGAAGGAAGAGCCAGTGACAGCAAAAAGCCCCCACAGCCATGGGGCACATGCTCTAGACCTGAGACAGCAGATGGTGCCGGCTCTGGGCATGCTAGTACCTTCCTATGCAGACACACCTCTAATAAAGTTTAACTTACACAGAAAACACCAAAATGAGCTAATAACAGCAGTTAGTAGTAAGTCAGGTAGTCAGCATGGTGTGTACACCTGCCATTCCAGCACTTGGAGGCTGAGGCTGGAGAACTGGGAATTCCAGGCCAGCATGGGCTACAGTGAGGCCTTGTCAAAAAAAAAATATATATACTAGTACTTATAAAGTAACAGTGACAATAACACTGAATGATATAATTATAACAGTGTGTTATAATAAAAGTCACATGTAGGTTGCCTTTCTCAAACTCCCTCCCTGTGTTGTCTCTTTTAGATGACATCTGACTGCCATGTGCAGTCATAGGTAAGAGGACATTTATACCACCAAGGCCTGAGTGGGACCTGCCCTCCCATCCCTAAAACTATTATCACTGGGTCAAGTAATAAGTACCTGTATTGTCAGGCATAGATGCCTGGTCTGTGTTTCGTTCCTTCTTGAAGACGATGTTTCCCAGCTGAAGGACAGAGGATACCACCTTCAACATAGCTGAAGAAGGGAGAGAACAGTGGATCAGACAGTAACAACCCAAAATATTCTGAAGGTTGGCAATCTGATCATCACTGAACACCCAGAGTCAACCAGTGTTATCCCTCTGTAGACCAAGTTCTGAGTTATTGGCTTGCAGGGGAAGATGCCTGAATTTGGGAGCTGAGTATTGCCAGCGAGTTGCTGAAAACCTTATATCACATGGGGTTTCTCTATGCTGATGGGACTTTTGCAAGCTCCATCCATGGACCAAATGTGTTCACTGACTATCATGAATGAATGGATTGGTGGAGGAAGGATGCATGCATGGATGGAATGTAGATGACTAGACAGGTGAAGGATGGATGGAGATGTGTGGGAAAAGAATGACTGGGTGAGTGCAGGGTGTGTCACTGATCAGTGCCAACAGAGGTCCTAACTGAACTGTGCAATCAGTTACCAAGAAGTTACCATGTCCCAAGAACAAAACCTAAAAATCCTAACTTTCTTCAATCCCTAGGCTAAACCATGGGTTTTAGCTCCTTCACAGCAGTTGTTCTCACACCATAAGAACCAGACCTCTTCAGGAGGATGAAGATACAGTTGCTAACCACCAACTCACCCACACACCCACTTCTCCCCACTGCAAAGTTGCTATGGGCAGGGCATTGCTAAGGGTGTTCTCTTTTATACCGACACCCACAAAAAGAACTTTTCAAACTAGGACATGCTGGCTTCATGGTTCTCAAAAGTACCAGTCTAAACCAGTATTGACCTGCAGAGTGAGGGCGAGCCATCTAACTCCAGGTCAGCCTTGCTGAACTCAGGGCAGAAATTCTTGGGCAGAAGGTAGTCCGGTGCATCCATGGGATAGTTAGCAGCAGCCCATCACTTACCAGTAGATTGCAGTAATACTCTCCTCTAGAGCTAAGGCAGCCAAAAAAAAAAAAAAAAAAGGTCTCTAGACCTTGCTAAGTGTCTCCTGAAATGAAGGGGGAGTCAAGCCTCCCTTCCTTGAAAATCTTCTGTCACAGTGATTGTGATAGACTGACGAGCCAGAAGGACTCATGGGGACAAGAACTCTACTTACAGTAGCAATAGATACTCTATCAATCATCTTTTTACCAAGGGAAAGGTGCCCAGAGTTATCAGGACTGATTTTTCCTAGTATGGTAGAAACCAAAATTTAAACATGAAATCTACCCACATTGGGAGCCAATTTTAAAAAGCAAGTTTAGGATCATACAGATGACTCAGAAGCTCAAGCCTGATGGCCTGTTGTCCGCAGACCTCTATACACGCGTTATGGCATGGCCCACCCCAGCAAATAAGTGGTTAAAATGATTTTTGTTTTAGCTTTTCACTGGGTGTGTGGTACACCCCTAAAACCCTGGCACTGGGAGGCGGAAGCAGGAACATTGTAAGTTCCAGGACTGCATGGACAACTTTGCAAGGTACTGTTTAAAAAAATTAAACTAAATAATGTTATAAAGATATCTTCTTTCTTGCTAGGTAGTCATTCTAATTTATTAAAACCAATATAATCCAGGCACAAAATTGGTGTTTTGATAGACTGTTGCTTGTGACAAAGATCGCAACAAATATGGCTGTCACGGGGGCTGGAGAGATGGCTCAGAGGTTAAGAGCATCGCCTGCTCTTCCAAAGGTCCTGAGTTCAATTCCCAGCAACCACATGGTAGCTCACAACCATCTGTAATGGGGTCTGGTGCCCTCTTCTGGCGTGTAGACATACAAGGAGGCTGAACACTGTATACACAATAAATAAATAAAAAAAAAAAAAAATAAATAAATAAATATTAAAAAAAAAAAAGTAAAAAAAGCCAGGCGGTGGTGGCGCACGCTTTTAATCCCAGCACTAGGAAGGCAGAGGCAGGTGGATCTCTGTGAGTTCAAGGCCAGCCTGGTCTACAAGAGCTAGTTCCAGGACAGGAACCAAAAACTACAGAGAAACCCTGTCTTGAAAAATCAAAAAAAAAAAAAAAATATGGCTGTCACGTTCTATCCCGCACATTAAAATATTCAGGCAGCATTAGTGCAGATGGGATGCAGAGTGGCATCAGTGCAAATGGCTGAAGTCAGATCACAATTCTTTATAATCCCTGGAAGGATGTGCACAGTGATGCTAGAACCAAATTAAGGGCTCACATCTGTCCCTGCTCTCAGCCGTTGTGTGACCTAAAGTGAGATATCAGTCTCTCTGGGCCTGTGTTTTGCCAACTAAAGAGTGGCAAAAGCATCTGTCCTATAGGGTTGATTGTCACAGGGTTCAATAGCACAGAGCCTAATACAGTCCGAGCATAGTAGTTCAGCACTGTTTTAGACTTTATGACATCTCATGCTACTTACTGCCTTGCTTGCTTGATTGGTTTGTTTGCTTGGTTTTGCTTTTTATAAACAGGATCTTATTGTGCAGTCCTGACTGGCCTAGAACTCACAGAGAGTCTCCTGGCTCTGTCTCTCTAGTGCTGGGATTAAAGGTGTGCCCTCTATGCCTGCCTGGTTTGCTTGTTTGATTTTGACTCTGAAACAGGGTCTCAGTCTATAGTCCTGTCTGCTTGAGCTCACTATGTAGCCCAGGCTGTCTTCAAAGTCATAATGACCCTCCTGACTCAGCCTCCCAAGTACTGAGATTATAGGTACATGTCACCATGCCTTGCTGGAACATGTAGTTAGAATTAAAGTTCACTTAGCTTGTCTTTTCACCTGGTCCCTCATATGAATTATTCAAGAAATTTAAGGACCCAAACCTCTACTCCTGTAGGCAAAGGTAGGGTCCTAAGTGTGAACCCTAGCAGCAATTCACTATGCCTTCTTGGCAATTCACTTTTTCTTCTCTGCCTCAGTTTCCCCATCTACAAACAAGCTAATCACAGCTACCCCATGGGTGCTTATGAAATTAAATAATGTACCTAAAAACCCAGACATCATGTTTGTCTGACACATGCAAGACTTAGGCTCCATCCCACAGACTGCAGGGGACATGGCCATTAGTAGTGAGCTTGCCTAGCTTGCAGGAAGCCCTGGGTTTGATCCCCCAGCACCATATAAAGCAGATGTGATGGCACACACCTGTCATCCTGGCACTCAGGAGGGAGAGGCAGGAAGTACAGATGTTCAAGGGAATTCTGGGCTAGCCTGGGCTATTTGAGACCTTGTCTCAAAGAGTTAAAAGTCTTGTTTTGTTCCCTATTAGCTTCTCTTAATCTCTTGTGAGTATTTATACAGAGGTCAGTGTTTTTACAGAACACAATTTAAATGGCTCCATCTGTCTTCATTTACAGGACAGACAATAATAACTTTTAACAATCACCATTTTAGTCCATCCCTGATTTTTTTTTCACTAATTGAAATAAAATGCACTGAACATATTGGTGTCTTAGGGGGAAAATAAGAAGCATACAACTGGAACCTACTCAGTGTGTTTTCTCAGTCTCTCTTTGTGTCTTTGGTTTTTTGTTTGTTTGTTTGTTTGTTTTTTTGAGACAGGGTTTCTCTGTAGCTTGGAACCTGTCCTGGATGTAGACCAGGCTGTCCTCGAACTCACAGAGATCTGGCTGCCTCTGTCTCCCAAGTGCTGGGATTAGCTTTGTGTCTTCTTAAAACTGGATTATGAGCTAGGACCCTTGTTCCCAAGAAGATGCATCATGTAGGGAGTTCATGGCCTTGGATGCTGATGAGAGGCCATTGTCAAGAGCTACAGACACTACTGATCTGCCAACTCTGTCCATGGACTGTTGAAATAAGAGCGGCGGCGGGGCTGCGTCCCCAACACCCCAGCCGCTTGGCTAGCTCATGCCCGAAATAACAACACACAAACTGTATTCATTTAAGAACTGCTTGGCCCATGAACTCTAGCCCTTACAGGCTAATTCTCGCACCTGGACTAGCCCATTTCTAATAATGAGTGTAAGCACCCCAAGGTGCGCTTACCGGGAAGATTCTAGCCTAAGTCCATCGTGGGTTGCAGCTGCCTGGGAGAGCAGAGCATGGTGGCTGTCCGGTCCCTCTGGAAGCAGCGCAGAGTCTGACCTCACTTCCTCTTCCGCCCAGCATCCTATCCTGTTTATTCCGCCCACCTATCTTATAACCTACCAGGGCCAGCAGTTTCTTTATTGCTCAGCCAATGAAATCAAGATTGATATGACACTCCCACATCAATGGACCCTCTTTTTCTCCACTGCAGGTTATCCTAAAGGCATCAACTCATCCTGTGGGCCTTACTGTAGCAACTGGATAGTCTAGGAGCCCAAAGCATGCAGGAAGGGAGGCCAATTTATCACAGTCCTGCCCTGGGGAACTCTGAACCCTAGAGCCCATTCAAACCTGAAGGGAAAGTCATTCTGGAGTTACAGCACTGAAGCCAGCAGGGGCCATATGGACTTCACGGCCAATTGTGGAATGATATTGGGCAATATCAGTCTATCAACAGAGCTGAAATCCCAGGAAGAGCCTGTATCTTCATTACCTCCTTCCCATCATACCTTATTCAGGGCTAGTATGTCTATGTTCAGCCCTAAGAACTTGCTCTTAGCACCTTTACCTTTCTATCCCACGACCCTAACTTCATAGGCAGTCAGGGAACATACACACTCACTTAGGCCCACCCACCCAAGGTAGTGAGATGGCACTGTTTGGGGCTATGACAGAGTCCCTCTACACCTTGACCACAAACCTAAAGGCTGTAAAAGCTGGAATACAACTGCATTGTTGTCAAGAAAATTATAGCCTATATAGGGACCACAGTGTTGAAAAATGAAGGACCTGAAACCAGCTTTTAGAGAAACTGATGAGTCCCTAGAGTCTATGGAACCTGCGACCAGCATGGCTGAGTTTTCCGGTATGGAGTTAGTATGGCTATCTTCCCAGCTCTTGGAGCCTAGCTAATGGTACTATTCTGAAAGCCAAGAGGCAGGACCTAGACTGTGGAAGTAGGCTGGTAGGACACTTTCTTCCCATCCTGCTTCCTACCTGCTGTGATTTAAGGAGCTCTGCCACCCAATCCCACTGCCATGGTCTGAACAGTTCTACCATGCCTCCCCTCTGTGATGGGTGGATACCCTCTGAGATCATGAGCCAAGATAAATCCCCCATCTTAAGTTGTCTCCTCGGGTGTCAGCATTGAAGCAGAAGTAACTAACACAGTGAGTCACTTTTGATGAAGTCAATGTGGGTCAACTGCAACATAAGAAGCTTTACTTCAGTCACTTGTCTAAGCCATGTGTGGCAGGATTCACTTTGCTTCTCTTTGTTTCCTTTCCCTCCCATTCTCCCTCCTTTCAGGAGGTAGGGAATTCAAGAGAGTAGCCATCTACCCTGACCAGATGAGGGCCAGTAGGGAAATCCCTCAGCACCACAGATACAAATCCAGTCTCCTAGGCCACGGCATGAAACTCACCTAGCTGTTCCTCTTCATTGAAGCCCATGATGGACATGGCCTCCAGCGTCTCCTGGAACATCTCGTCATCCTGAGCAGCTGGAATGGGCACGAAGCCATTGGATAAAAACGTATAGCTGTTGAAGCTCTCCAAAAGCAGGTCACCTCAAAGAGAGGAAGAGAGTGGAGTGAACGAGGAGACATGACACAGGGACCCAAGAACAGTCTGGCCCATCACCATTTTTCTTGCTCTCTCAAAGTTTGGGCAGTTAAAACCCTTCTTATATGTCTTCATGTACAGTCCTCACCAGCTGGTGCTGGTTTGTTGGGCCAAAATTATCTCAGGGCCTGTACCTCGAGGCCTGTAGGGACAGAGAAAAGCCTGGCTCGAGTTTGAAGGATAGTCTCAAAGCTACCAAGTGGGGATGAGACAGCAAAATCTAGGTAGACACCCCTCTAGCCAAAGGGAGGGCTTGGTCATCTCTCATTGGCTGGAGGTACCCCCACATCACCCGATGTCACTTAACCTATATAAGCTGATGCTCACAGTAATAAACTGAGTTCCTGCTTTGACTTGACTCCTTATTACGTCTGATTGTCCTGCATCATGGGGCTGCTGAATGGGCAGATAGCGCACTCACCTTTCCCTGGGGAATAAGGCTAAGGAGGCCTGGTTTTATATGATTGTATAGGTTATATTACTGTGCCGGGTACCAGACAGCTAAAATCAGCCTGATCTATATATCCTAAATAGTATATTATGTACTTCCCTGTGTATAACAAGCTATTTCAGGACATCAAAATTAGGTCTTATATGCTGAATTCCTGCTCTGGTTAGATAAAGGTTTAGCTCTCGCCCTTCCTCATGTTTTTTTCAATTATTTCTAATTGAATCAGTAGACAAGCCTTTTATCAGAGGTTAACAAATCTGGCCCACTGGTTGCCTTTGCAAATAAAGTTTTATTAAAGCAGGTTTGCCTCAATTTCCTTGTGAACTCTCCCAACTGTAATAATAAGCAGCTATTAACAAAAGCACTATGGCCCTCAAAGCTTAGGATGATTATTATCTTGTCCTTTAGTGAACCTATTTTACAATCCCTTGTTTATATTGTTACATTAAAAAAAAAACTTGTTTGTGCCCACCAGGCTTGCTGGTACATGCCTGTCTGTACAAGCCTACGGGCCCAGTATTCTGAAGGTCAAGACAGGGAATCTCAAGTTCAAGGCTGGTCTAAGACTGTTAGGAGTGAGCATCCTCTGAACCATACTATAGTACATAGGCCAGGGAAGACTAAGGGAGAGGAGCTGTTACCTTGCTGGTAAAGGCTTTCCAGGGGTGGCCTGGAGCACCCACACCCCTATCTGTGACTCCTTTCCTTCCTTAAGGAGGTAAAAAAGCCTAGAGAAATCATTGTTTCTCCAGTGTGAACTTTGGTGGAATCATGCGTCTATATCTGCGAGGTTAGGAGAAGGGATGGATATTGCTGTGTATTCCCTAGGAAGGAAGTTAGCAACAGTGCCAAAGAAAAGAAAGGCTTCTTTCTCTCTCTCTCTGTCTCTCTCTCCATGTTTACAGTGCATACATGTGTCCTCATGTGTATGGAAGTGTGTGTGCTTGTAGAGTGCATGTAGAGGCCTAATTTTGACATCAAGTCTTTCTCACCCCTCCCCCACACCTTATTGTTTGAGGCAAGGTCTCTTATTGAGCCTAGAGCTCACAAATTCAGCTAGACTAACTAGTCTGGGGATCCTGTCTCCACCCTGTGAGTGCTGGGATTACAGGTAACTGCCAAACACTCCCAACCTTTACATGGGTTCAACAGATCTGGAACTCAGGTCTTGATGCATATACAAATGCTTTACCCAGTGCACCATCTCTCTGACCCCAGTTACACTCAGCTGCTCTATTTCCTTTGTTGCCGCTTGGTTTTCATCCTGCCCATTTTTAGCTTCTCTCTTTCTCTCTCATTCTTCCTTCCTTCCTTCCTTCCTTCCTTCCTTCCTTCCTTCCTTCCTTCCTCCCTTCCTTCCTTCCTTCCTCTTTCTTTTCTCATTGTTACTCTTCCAACATGTTTGTTGCTTGCCAAGACAATTAAAGACACTTGGAGTAAAATCAGGGAGATGCTCTCTTTTTAAGCCGAAGTCATTTATGGGTCAGGTCACCTTGAAGTCACTTGATGAGCCCAAAGTTGAATGTACTCAAGGCCAAAGGTAACTCAAGTTTCTGGGTTCAGAGAAAAACGGGACTGGTCACAAGGACTTGGGTCTTAGTCAACACCATTATCCATGGTTTGGAGAGATTCATAGACATTTCAACCTCTTAAACTTTCCTTCTCCCCAGCTCTGCCATCAAGAATACAAATCGGCTGGGTGTGGTATGCATGCCTATAATCTCAGTACTTCAGAGTCCAAAGCAGGGTGTTGCTATAAGCTTCAGCCTAGCCTGGGATACTTAGTAAGATCCCGACTCAAAGAAAGCATAACAAACAAACAAACAAACAGAAATGCAATTGGCCATAGACTGTCCCCTGTTCCCTGGCCCAGCTGCCCCTGGCGCAGCTGCCCCAGCCTCAGCTGTGGGAAAGCCTGTGGCAGGGCACGGAGCAAAGTGCAGCAGGGAACCAGAGGGAGGAAGGGTAAACAACTTGGGCAAGCTGCCCGCCAAGGGCCCCCACCATTTGCTGGTGCTTCAGAAGGCCAAGCTTCACAAACAAGGGAATGAGGACGACATCCCCTATTATAGGGCTGTGCAAATTTCCATCGTGGCTGAAACCCTTTCACAATTTCCTTTCCTTTCTCCTCTCATTTTCTTTTCCCTCCTCCTAGCTTCCTTTCCTTCTTTTTCTCTTTCCTTCATCTCTCCTCCCTCCCTCCCTCTTTCAGGTTCCATGCTGTACTAGCTATTCTGCTCCCACCTTCCCGTGCTGAAAGGACAGACATGTGTCACACCCCAGTCCTTTTGCTAATCTTAACGAACGTAACTAAGGGGAAAACGTGATGGAAAACAAGTTTCTGTTGTTGCCGTCAGTTCTCTAACCTAATCCTAATCCCAATCATAGAATGTGGATTCCACTAGCCACGTGTATTCACAACATGTCCCTTTTCTGGCTATACTTTTGATGTTTCTTTAAGAATTTGATTCCTCAACTCTGAGGCTTCTGTGACAACTACCCTACTCCACCCCCCCAAAAAGAAAAGAAACAGTCTAGACAGGAAGCCCTTAGGAACCTGTGACAGGAATTCTGAAGTGTAGCTCTTCACAGTTGATGACTTTTGGTAGGGACAGGAGTGGGGAGAGACTTAGTTTTCTTTAAGTGGGTGGTCACTGGGAATTTGACCATGCTCCAATGAGCATATGGGCAACATAAATTGAACTTGGCATCTTTTTCTTTCTTTCCTAAAAATTAATTTACAATGGAAGTTGGCAAATTAAAGTATGTTTCCTGTTCTTGTAAATATAAAGTTTTTATTGAAACATTTATTCTGCTGGTTTATGCATTGCTGTGGCTGTCTCTGCGCAATGGCAGAGTTTAACAGAATGCATATGCTATTCGGCCTTTTAAAGAAACAGAAAAAGTCTGTTTAGCTGGGGTGAAGCTTGACTTACAGAACTTGCCTGGAATGTGTAAAGCCTGGGGCTCCATCCCCAGAGTCAAAAGAAAGGATGAGGAAGGAGGGAGTGGAGGAGGTTTTGTGTGCAGGTAATCACAACACTTGTGGGGTAGACCAGGGAGATCAGTTCAAGGTTAACCTTGGCTATGCAGTGAGTTTGAGGCTAGCCTGGGCCACATAAGACCCTGTCTCAAAACAGAAAAAGCCCTGAATTCACTGATCCTTCAAATTCCTTCTAAACTCAAAATAAAATGCTAGGGTTTGGGGTCCATGCCTATAAACTCAGAACTTGAGAAATTGAGGCAGAAGGATTACAAATTCAAGACTAAATTGGAATTTAGTTAATTTAGCAATTTCTAGATCACCTAGACTACAAAGTAAGAACTGATCTCAAAACCAAACCAAACCAAAGACAACAACTAAATATAATTGAAAGTTTTGTTTTGTTGTTTTTTTAAAGGCAGGGTCTCATTATGTAGACTGGGCTGGCTTCAAACCCATAAAAATCTCCTGGCCTCTGCCTCTTGAGTGTTGGGATTAAAGGAATGTGTCACCCTACCAGGCACCTGGCAAGTTTTCTAAATGGGCATCAAAGTCATTGTCATCTACTTCCTTTAAAGTCACAGATTGTAACTGGACCTCAACAGTTAATGGTCTAATGTGTGACTGATAGCTTAACTATCTTCCACTTTATAGAGTTGGTGAGGATAACTGAATACACCAAAGGACCCTGAATCCACCACAGGGGTAAACACTTACTTCTCATCTTTTCCTTGGCTCCAGCGATCAGATAGTAAAAGATATGGAATGTTCTCTCATCCCTGGCCTGACGAATTGCCCGAGACTTTTCCAAAAGATCTGGTTGAGGAGGAGTTAAGGACTCTGGGGCCAGCCAAGGTGTAAGCTTCCACAACCTAACCCCCAACCCACCCTGCCAAGTCAGCTGCTGCAGGTGTCCCCAGGACCAGAGAGGCTCCCTGGAAATTTATAAGAGACCAAAGAGTTGTCAGAGTAGGCTGCTATTTCTGATTCATGAGCCTGTGTAGGGCAGCTGATCTCAGATAAACTCTTTAAGGACAAGGGGTTTGGCCTTGGGAAAGCAAAGAGGTGATGAAGGCTGCATGACAGCTGATGCCAAGCTGGCCCTAGTCTGTCCTAGCACATGCTCAAAACGTGATGAATATAATCTAGTCTAATTCTACTCTCCAGACATCATCTCTGTCTCATCCACAAGGTTCAGAGAACTGAGTAACCAGGCCCAGGGAAGGAGAGATCAGTCAAGAGTACAACACAGGCCATTGAGGGTTTACACGTAATCCTATCCCACAGCACCTCCTGATAAACACAAGAAGGATTGTTCCAGAAGGCACTCAAAAGTCTGCAGAGAGGGAGGGGATTTTTGTGTTTTTCCTGAGCCCCAGCTCAGCAAAGGATACATGTTTCGATGTTGGCACCCACGATGTAACCGGTAACATCGAAGTTGATGCGAATGAACTTACCCTGCCGAGAGGAGAACAAGTTGATGGAGTGGCCAAACTCAGTACAGATCTCACACTACAGGCAGGTGGGGAGGTGTCAGGGGGCCATTGGGGGCCGGAGAGACTCTCAAAAATACTCAGAGCTCCACAGTCCTGCTGGGCCACAGCAAGCAGCACCCCCAGGGCAATCAAGTCCATGCAGGGAACATCATTTATTCATGAAACAAGTAAGTCCCTCATGGCTGTCCCCAAGGGGGAAGAGAAACTGACACTGAGAAAGGTTAAGTGGCCTGGCATAACATTGCTTCCAGAGGTGGCTGTCAGTCACAGGCTTTTCTACACTAAGTGGGCTAGGCTGAAATGCATTCTGTGTATACGTGTGTGGGGCGGGGGGATTGGATACACATGCCAGGGGACAACATCAAGTGTTATATTTCTCAGTTACTGTCCACCTTGTTTGCTCAGACAGCGTGTCTCACTAGCCTGGAGCTCTTCAAGCAGGCTAGGACGGCTGCTCAACCAGTCCTAGGGACTCTCTGCTTCCCCACTGTTGGGACTACGAGCATACGCTACCATGTCTTGATTTTTCTTGTGGTTTCAGGTCCTAGTGTTGGCAGGGCAAGCACTTTACTAACTGGGCTATCTGAGCTCCTGCTAAGGCTGGGAGTGGAAGCCCTGGCCTCCCCGATGCTAAGCCAGAGCCCTCCCTGAGTTCCCCACTTGTATTATGAACAAGTCAGGGTCTTGCTAGGTAGCCCAGGTTAACGTCCCTAGTGCTGAAATTACAGACATGTACCACCAGGCCTGGCTCTGGATGCCTTCTTATTCCTCCTTCATATTAGAGGGAGGACATCAAGATATTTTATGTGAATCTGAGACAGTAAGAGTGTTACTTGGCATTGCATGAGCAGCTGCAATGAAAATGGGGCACAGTGAAGTTCATGGGGAGCTTCTGGGTGGGCAGGGAAATGTCTCCAAGGACCTACATGTGAAGTGTGTGTGGGTGCTCATGGGGGTTTGAATCCCCTGGGGCTAGAGTTACTGGCAGTTGTGAGCTACCATATGAGCTCTGGGAACTGAACTCTGGTCCTCTGCAAGAACATGAAGTGCTTGTAACCACTGAGTCTTCTCTAGAGGTCCCTTCAGGGGTCCCTGTCCCAGAGAGTTACAGGTCCAAGAGGTACTCCATCACTCTGTTTGACAGGCACATCCTCCGTTCCCCTCACTAAGGAAACTGCCTAATGGAGGCCCAGCTTCCTTGTTCATTAGGACAATTCCAGTCTGTTGTGGCTTCTACCATACTTCCTCTGCATCCTTCAACCCATTAGTCTTGAGCAAGGAAGGGGACAACCTTGGGACCCGGGAAAGTGTACATGAGACCGTGACATCTCCCACATTACTGACTGCTGGTCCCCTTCCTGTGTCTGGAGTCACACCAAGAATATTCACTGTGATTCTTGGTGCCTACGTCAGTGCCAGATATATACTATGTGCTTAACAAATGGAAAGGGGGAGCACGGTCTGTATAAAAGTGTCCACAGAATGGTTGTATGCAATAAGTGCTCAGTCAGTATTTGATAGAGGACAGATGTATGTTATAAGGTAAGTGTCCAATTCATACTTCGTTGAATGAATGAATGAGTATTTCATGTATCTAATATGTAATAGGTACTCAGTAAATGTTAGATAAGTCACAGATGTTAATTAATGGCTAACTGACAATGGATGCTCAGTGATTATTAAGTGAATGAGTAGGGACAGGAGCCCTTGGGACAGAAAGGCGGGGAACAGATGTGGTTATCCTCTACTGCCTCTAGTCCTTTAATTCCAGAAGGCCCTTGAACTCTTACAGTCTGTGTTCTTGGGGGATATGTGACATCAGGGTACCCACATCAGCCCCAGGAAATCCCATTATCGCTCTGCTACTTACAAAACGAGAGGAGTTGTCATTCTTGACGGTTTTTGCATTGCCGAAAGCCTCCAGGATAGGGTTCGCCTGTAGAAGCTGCTTTTCCAGCTCCCCCTAAAATTCATTTACATCTAGTTATGGGGGAACACAACCTAGGCCTGACACAAATCTCTGCCCTTTGGTCACGGGTTCTGTCTTGTTCTCGGCCCCTCCTAGGCCCCAAATGTCTCTTCCAGATGTACAGGATCTGTTCAGAAGAGTTTTCTGACAGAGAACACGTCTGCTCCCCAGAGACAAGAGTCATAGCATACAGTGCTGAGATATTTACAACCCCATGAACGCCCCCCTAGGAGCATGCAGTGTGCAACCTGCCTGCTGTCCAGGTAATACTACAGTTCAGGCTTGCCTTCTGCAAGCTAAGCTGCTACAACCTTCCCAACTGCTTAAGCCCAACTTTTAAAAGTTGCAGCAGTTCACCTGGCAGGCCTGGACTTCTGATGTTTCCTATGGAAGATACTTTGGAAGGCTCAAAACCCACCAGAAATCCTTTTAAGCAACTGCAGAATGAAGCTTCAAAACTACACGAGCTCTGTCTAGCAGATTAAATGCAGCCGAGACTGAGTGCAGCCTGCCAGGCCCCTCTGCATGACTCCCGTGCGCAAATGCAGTCATGTGATTAATGGAGGTAAGGAAAGGGCCGACAAAGTAAGCCATGCCAGGAAAGCAAAAGATGCTAAGCCACAGAAGGCAGTGGCTGCTGCTGCTGCCTGACCATCACCCCGCAATGCAGCCTGCAAAAGAAGATGTAGAAGGTCTGATATCCACGGAAACCCCAGCACCAAGTGGACCTGGCCCACTGGAGAAATTGATAAGAAAAGTCATCTACTTTCCTTGGCTAGTAGGAAGAAACTTGGAGTAATTGCATCTACTTATGCAGACTTGGGATACAAAGGTTCTACACAAAGCTCCCTATTCTGCAAAGAGGTTTCTAGTTCTCCAAGGAGAGCTTCGAACATAGAGACCTCATCCAATTGATGATGAGACTGTGGCCTAGAACCGTTAGGTGGCTTGGCAAAGGTTATACAGCCTATGTCAAATAACAACCAACTTCTTGTCCGAGACAAAGTAGTGTGTGGCCCAGCATCTACCTGAAACAGACTAGGTGATATGGAACATCCTGAAGATTCTTTTCTAGGCTGGGACCCATTGCCAGCCCCACAAGCTCTGCATCAAAGTCCAGTTCGCATACGCAGAGGTCCATGCAGGGCCAGGTTGTGTGTGGCACAGCTGGGGCCTTACCGAGCCACCAAAGCTGGTGCATCACAAACCCAAGATGGTTTCAAATGTCTTGGGTGAGGCAACTGGCATGCAGGAGAAGAGACAGGCACGGCACACACATGCACAAATACACACAGGTGCAGGAAAGCAGGGAAGGTAGCTTTGCCCTGGCTGGGTTTCCCACTGACCAAGCTAGGGCCACTCTGGAACCTGACGGTCAGATCCTCAACAGATGGGATGGGTCATTCCAGTGTGTTAGGAGACTGATGGCGGGCACATTGTAGGGAAGGGATGAGGTTTATTCTGAACTGGGCAATCCATCCAGGCTGGAGTACAGCCCTGGGGATTCTGGCAGGAGCCCTGGGCAGTTAACATACCCCACTCTGTACTCTGGCATCACCCCCACCCCTACCCATGCACCCCATGATATTTTGGTGCCTCTACTAGTCTGGGGCTGGGAACTCAGGGGTTTGCCCTGCTCCTGCATCCACTAGGGGGCCCGTGGGTGCAACAGATGCATGCAGGTCTTAATCCACTCGGTGCCTCCCATCACACCAGGAAAACTCTGTTACTCACGTAGGCAAAAGATGGGCCTTGCTGCAGTGGGACAGCACAGTATGAAACAGACGTCAGTGCTTCTGCCTTCACATCCAAGCCCACCCCACAATGGGAGCCCTGAGCTGGGTTCCTTCTCCTTGCTACCAGCCCTAGCCAACAGTGATCAGCTCCTTCACTTCAACTGTGCTCTCTCCTCTCTCTCCTTCTCTCCTTTCTCCCTCCCTTGTCCCCTTGTACTTTTGAGACACTGTATAGCCAGGCTAATTCTGAACTCAAGATCCTTCTGTCGAGTTCTGGGATCACAGACTCATAGGACACCATCACAACTGCCAGACATCGTTTCCCAATTGCTGGGGCCTCAGTGGATGTCTTCCTCCCTCCCTTCCTCCCTCCCTTCCTCCCTCCCTCCCTCCCCCTTCCCTTCCTCTCTCTCCATCTCTCTCTCCTCCCTTTGTTTGACAGGGTATCATGTATTCCAGGCTGGTGTCAAACTTATTAGATAGCTGAAGATGATCTTGGACTTCTGGTTCTCCTGCATTCACCTCCCAAGTGGATAATAGTGTGCACCACTCATCTGGTTTATGAGACCAAGCACTGGCCTCTGATCTGATGGGGGAAGATATGTGTCTGCAGATATAGGGAGAGGATGTCCAGCCCTCATAAAGCTGGGTCATCCTAACTATTATGTCTTGTTTTTATTATATAGAAAAAGGCTAGGTGGAGGAGAAGGGGGATTCTCTCTATCACACAAGCTTGGGTCAGTGTTCCCTACACATAACTCTAACAGGCTATAGCCCTGTGCTTGTTTAAGGGGAAAAGGTTCCCAGGCTATAGCCAGCACCCAGCCCAGGTCCCTGAGAGCTCCAGGTTCACTGGCCACTGTACAGTCTCTTAGCCCCTAAGAACAGGAAGCAAGATGCAGTGTGGTAGAAGCCTTTCCCATCATCTCCCTGTCCATATAGAGGCACTGATAGGATCCAGGGTCCCATAGGGGACAAATGAGAAATGCAAATGGAAGAAAGGAAGGGAAGCAAGGGAAAATTCTAGAAACTCCCTCTGCCTTTCTTTGTAAACCCTTTTCCTTCCTACTGAGGGCTTTGTTGTTGTTGGTTTTCCATTTTGTTTTGTTTTAATTTGGTTTGGTTTGGTTCTGCCCCCTTCAGTGTAACCACATGTCCATGCAGGACCTCATCCTTGTGGTCTGTGGCTCACAGCAAGAGGCTCAGTAAATAATGGACAAGGGACCCATGCTGACAAACCCCAGCATTCTTGTCACCTGGGGGTGGGATATGGAGTTGCTCTAATTTGAGACCGAGTCCTACCCCCTAGGGACAATATATAGGGCATATTTGCAGGCTCCAAATATGCTGTGGCATATAGGGACAAAGGCCAGGGACCAGGAACACTGGAGTTTGTAGGATAGTCCCTATCTTACAAAAGCATGGTCACTGCTAAGAAGTGTTCATGGAAGATCTCAGTGGAAGAGGCTCATTCCCCAGACTGCTGGGACCATGTAGCCATGGCAAGGGGAGGGGGGTCCCAGAACCAGCTTGCTCCACCCAGGAGGATCAACCCTGGGGGCATAGGCTGAATTCTCACTCCGGTGTTATGTTCACCTAAGTCAGCTAAGGTGCAGCCTTGAAGCACTTGTCACTCACCGTGATGCTACTGTCTTTCTTGCCCTTGTGGGAAGATGCCACCACAGCCAGGTACTGGATTACTTTCTTCGTGTTTTCTGTTTTCCCAGCTCCAGACTCACCTCTGAAAGACAAGAGTATGCTGACCCTACAAGCCAGGCAGGACCCCTGTGGTCATCACCGCCACTCCCAGAGTGGGAAACCTGAGGCTCCTCCTGCAAAGGGCAGTAACTGGCTGTTTGTGTGTGCAGGTGCACATATATTTTGGGTGAAAGTTTACACACATATATGTAGAGGCCAAAGGTCAACCTCAGTTATCAGCATCTTTAAAAAAGAAAAGAAAAACAACAACAACAACAAAAAACCAGGTCTCCCTTTGAATGGAACTCACCAGTTAGGCTGGGCAGTGAACCCCAAGGCTTCACCTAATCTGTCCCCCCATTGTGAGCTTACAAGCACATTTACTCTGCTTAAATGTTTTTAACATGGGTCCTGGGAATGAGAGCTTGGGTCCTCGAGTTTGCACAGCAAACACTTACCCGCTGAGCCACCTCTCCAGCCTTGAGCTTGGGTTTGTCGCCTGAGCAAATGAACCTGGGTAGACCCAGGCCTATACAAACCAGTTTGCCCCTCTAGAAATACTGCAAGGAAGAGCCCAGAAGAGGAGGAAAGAGGAACCTGAACTCTGCTACAAAGGTCAAACTCTGGTCTGTTTAGCCCTGTCGCTAAGAGATATTGTTAGCGAATTGGACCCAGAAGACCTGGACAAGAAAGAGGCTTCCACAGAAGAAAGAGAGTACCTTCCAGCCTATGGCAGAAACTCTACAAAAAGGATGCCTTATCCAGTGAGTCACTGAGCCAAAGCAAGGCCTCCATCCTCAGCAGAATCCTTCGAACACCAGGCAGCTCGCTGGTAATCTCAGGCAAGTACCAAAGTGTTTCTTTGGTTGGAATAATTTACACTAACGTGTATATAGCTGATAACTTCCCACTGTTGAGGGGCTTACTGTTAGCCTAGGGAAGACTCTTTAGAGTGTGAGGGGCTGCCATCTTGAACCACCAGATCCCTGCAGAATGACTTCTCCATCCACAAACTCCAGTGCCCTGTCTGGCTCCCCATGTCTGCTGAGAAGAAAGGACCCGTCTCTGTTCACTTTTCTTCCACATCATCTCCCATCCGGATTTTTTATTTTTCCTTTCTTTGCTTAAATGCTCCCATTTTCTGAGCTTACTTCATATTTTATGACATAAGAGAGACTTTTTTTTTAAGTCTGGAAAAAAATTCAGCCATGCAAAAGTCAGCTTGGGGGTTCTCTGGGCAGAGCCAATGACCCGGATGAGCACAGTTCTGCCCTTCTCCCTAAATAGAAGGAAAGAAATAATTTTCTCTGCTAAGGGAGCCTCAGTGGCTTCACTCAGGCTGGAGAGAAGAGAGCAGAAAGAGCCAACACTCGCTCTGAGCATCTGGCCTGGCTCCACAGAGTCTGCTGTCCAGAAATGATGTCTCACGTCAGCTTTCTGTTGTCCCCTGAACTGGGCACAGTTTGAATGAGAACTGTTATGCATTGGTAGTGTGTCTGGGTGTGGTCCCTATCAGGTGGAGGCGGGTCCATGGAGGGGGGCGGGCCTTTGACAATCACAGCCTCCTAGCTTGCTCGAGCTCTCTACTCCCTGTTGGCCGCAGATGAGAAATGACTGGTGCAGGTTCCCCTGCCAAGGACTGACCCGTGCTGCCCTCTCCTTTCCCAAAGGACAAGCTTATTGATTTACTTTGGTAAACAGAACTGACATTATGTGTGTGGTTGGGGTGCTCAAATCTTTACCTTCCTCTCAGCGCCACCACCTCTGTTTATGGGGGTAGGAACCATGGCATCTGTGTTACTGTGGGAAAGTCGGGTCTGGATGAGTCCCTGGCTCAAGAGCTACCCACACCCTCGCTGCTCTCCCACACAGGTTCTGCTCTCTAGTAATATTGATTGTTGACAGGATCTGGGGTCACCTGGGACAGACCAGGCTGACTGAGGTGGGAAGAAGGCCCACGCGGAGTATGGGCGGCACCTGAATCTAGGCGAGGGTCCTGAACGGAATACAAAGAATAAGAGAGCCTTCCCGATCTTGGGTGCCACTTGAGCAGCGGGCTCACAGTCCATGTCACCACACCACAAAGGCCAGAGCCTCACGCTGGGGCCTTGGCAAACCCGTGCATCTCAGGAAGGACAGAAGAGAACTAATACTTTGGTGCCAGACAAGGGACAGCCAGAGCCCTGGTGTGGACTAAGAACCTGCTCTCGGCTCACTTGTACCCACACTTCAGGGCCTTTAATCTTCCCAGCCATGTAATAAGGAACTTCCTGATTATTCTCATCTTCCTGGGGAAACTGAGGCTTAGAGACATTGAAGTAATGTACTCTAGTTCTAGGTACTCCTATAAACAGAAAATAGAAGAGGAATAAAATTTGAACTCAGGTCTAAATAATACGACAACTCATATTCTCCCACTTCCCACTCTTTTATTTTGATAAATGAGAAAGGGAAAGATAGAGGGACATTTCAGCCTTGGACTCTGAAACTGAAGTCATGGATCAAAGAACTAAGCCACTCAGTTATGTCCACCATAGTACAAATTACTTCAGCGGAGCTAATGTCAAAATGGATGAACTTCCCTGTCAACTGAAGAAGGATCTTGGTCAGGGCAGGGAGAGAAAATTCTGAGACCTGAACACAGATCTCTCGATTCTGTCCCAGGTCCATGTCCTACCACCCTATGCTTCCCCATCTGGCCTTCATTCTCTGCTTTTGACATCAGGAGAGCACCAGCTGCACAGGCTCTGGGAACCCGTCCCTTCCTGGGGTCCTCGAGGCTCAGCTATTTCCAAGTTTCTCTGATAAAAATAAATTCTTAGATGGCTTTGCCAAAAAATATGCCCAAGTCCCAGGCTCCAGGCATCTGAAGTTGGCAGGCTCTGGGTGGCTCCAGAAACATGCCTGTCTCTGCTTTGGTGACCCTGGAACTCTGGGTGACAGTGCTATCCCCGTCTAAGCCCCTGTCCTGGTTCTGGGGGCCCCTGGCTTAGCCAGATGGAACTGGGTTTGTCATGACCCTTGGTGTGTGTGACCTGCAGAGGCTCATGGGGACCGCTCTAAGAAAATCCCTGTGCTGACAGAATGTTCTGGAAATTCTTAGTGACTTCTCATCATGGAACTGTACACTCTCACATGATTTTAACACCATAGGGCAGTTGTGTCTCTCTGAGTTATCACAGGCCTCAACAAGGAGCCAAACTGACTGTATACTCATGGCCCCTCCTAAGTTCCACCCCTAATGCAAGCTGGCTGTGTTCTCTGGTATCCATGTCCAGCTCCTACACAACTTGCAAAGCCCAGTTAGGCAGTACCCATTTAAATGTCTGGACTCAAAGTATTTGTCCCTATAGCCCTCATTAGCTAAATGGCACAGGAGCTCCTGGGCCAGACAGTCTGAGTTCAAATACCTACTCAACCAGTCATCTGCATGGCCTATGGTAAGTCACTTAACCTCCTGTACCTCTGCTTCTTTACCTACAAAATGGGTAGAAGTAAAGCACTCCATATGACCACTGTGAAGGTTAAACAAGAGGAGACAACACACTTCCGTGTGACTGTCACACAGTCATAGCTGTTTTTCTCCATGGCCGCTTCCTCCCTTACCCTTGCATGCTCTATCTGTACCATGATCTCCATCACTGGTCCTCGCACTAACCCACAAGCCCTGCCACATTTCTCCCCATTTAGGTGTGTAGTAGGCAAGTCACTTATGTACAGGCTAGATAGCTGTCATTTCAGGCTTTGTGGGCGTCCTGGTTGGTTTCTGTCAACTTGACACGAATCTAGACATATCTGGGTAGAGGGACTCTTGACTGACAAAAAATGTCTCCTTAATTCTTGCCTTAAGTGGTGACTGATGTGGGAAGGTCCAGTCCATTGTGGGTGGTATCATGATGGGACAGGTGGTCCTGGTGGTATAAGAAAGCAGTTGAGCAAGCCATGAGGTGTGCTAGGTTATGGTCTCTGCCTGCAGCAGTCCCTGTCTTAGGTTCCTGCCCTGATTTTCTCTGGTGATGGACTATGATGTAGAGTGTGATATAAACTAAATACACACACACACACACACACACATTTTGCTCATGTTGCTTTTAGCATGGTGTTTTATCACAGCACTAGAAAGCAAGTTAACATAGCCTGTGGTGCCTCATTATACCTACTTGGCACTCCAATGAGGAAGCAGCTGTGGAAGCAAGTGGATTGCAGGTGTACTTCAATAAAACTTAATTTACAAAATACAAAGTGTCTATTGATTTCACAGTGCGAGCTTCCTACGTCCTCATCCCTCAGAAAGAGGTCCCTAGTCCTGACACCATTCTCTCTAAGGTCTCTTGTTCTCTCTCACACATACACACACCACTTATACAAATAAATGTTACAAAATAAGACAAGTGAAGAACCTCCCACACCCTCCAACCACTTTGATGTTCTGCCCTTAGCACTTGAGGTTGAATGGCTATGAGCAAAACCCTCTGAAACCATAACACATCAAAAAATCTTTCCTGTTTCCAGTTGGTTATACGAGATGGTAAGTCCCGGTGCTAGTAAAAGTAACTATTACTCAGGCTGGTGAGCTGGCCCAGAAGGTAAAGGCACCTGCAATCAACCCTGACACCTTGCATTCTATCCCCAGGACCCACATGGTTGGAGAGAAATGACTCCTGCAAGCTGCCCTCTAACCTCTACCTGTACTGTAACACTTGTGCACCCCTACATGCACAAGAACTAAATAAATATAATTAAAAATAGAACGACTCCAGACACCCTTAAGCATTCAAGTGTACTTGTTTCCAGCACGTGTGCCCTGTGACGGGGTAGAACTGGGTAGCTCGGCTGTGACCATCAAAGGCCCCGTGCTGATGATCTTTGTCTTCGGTAAACAAGAAAGGAAGAGCAGCCTCACTTACGTGCACAGAATGGACTGATCTTCACGATCTGCAAACAGAGAGGAGACAGTGTGAATTAGATTGAGCCCTGGATCTAAGGGTCTGGACCTGGCTCCAGCTCCCCGACACTGGCCAGACTGGAGGTGGCCAGAGGCCAGCTATACTGGATGCTCAGAACACAGGGGCCAAAGTGAACCCACAAGGACAGACACAGTCCCTGAAGTGGCCCTTGAAAGAGTCTTGAGCCTGATGCACCTAGGAGGCCACAGGACACCCCCCCCCCAGTCATACCAACTCTGGGAGACCCAGAGCCTTTCCTGCCCTTATTAGGTTATAGACTGGGGACACTTTGGGTTCAGGCTGACCAGGTGCCCTTGTGGCTACAGGTCTTTTTGTTCCAAGGCCTGGGGTATGTGTCTGAGCTTGCTGTATCAGCTGCATCAGCTGGGATGTATTGTGGAAGACAGACCTGGATTGTAAGTACCAGAGCTCATCTCTTTTTTCTGGGGGTGGGGGACATCTGTCTCCATGTCACCCCTGCCATCCTAGAAAGCTATGCTAGCTGTTTTTATGTCAACTCCACACAAGCTGGAGTCATCGGAAAGGAGGGAACCTCAATTGAGGAAAAGCCTCTAAGATTTAGCTGTAAGACATTTTCTTAACTAATGATTGATGTGGGAGGGTCCGGCCCATTCTGGGTGGTGCCATACCCAGGCTGATGTTCCTGGATTCTATATGAGAGCAGCCTGAGCAAGCTATGAGGAGTGAGCCAGCAAGTAGCATCCCCCTCCCCCATGGTCTCTGTATCAGCTCCTGCCTCCAGATTCCTGCATTGACTTCCTTTAGCGATGTGGAAGCATAAACATATAAACACGTTCCTCCCCATGTTGCTTCTGTCAGAATGTGTCATCACAGCAACAGTTTCTACTTGGTTAGGGTGAGGGTAGCATAGAGGCCTCCCTCGCTTCCCTCTAAGCCCTGATTTCTGTCCTTCTGCCTCCCCCACGTGTCTGTAAGCTCCTGTGTAGGCTCTGCTCTCTGGAAGTTGAAGGTAAGTGCCTGGTGTGTAGTACCAAAGACCCCCACCCTCTGATACAGAGGACACCATGAGACCAAAGATCAAGCAGGCATGGTTGACAGCTTCTACTCAGAAAGTGTCCCAGAGATCCAGCCAAGGCCTGGCTGTCCCTACCTATGAGGGACGTGGGAACAGCAACCAACACTGTAACTAGCAGCCAAGAACAGAGACATCTGGGTGCCACACCTGATGGGCAATGCCAGAGGTAACATCTCTTACATCTCTTCCTTGCACCGCGGCCCTCAGCCTCAGTTTACCGCAGAACTGCTGGTCTGTGGGACACCATGCCTCCATTGCCAGCAAGATGGTTGATGCCCTGTTATATTTTTTGAATGAATCATAGGATAGATACACAGACAGATGGACAGATCAAAGGACAGATAAGAAGATGGATAGATGGATAACAGGAACAGGAAATCAGGAATTTAAGACCATCTTTGGCTACATAGTGAGTATCAGGCCAGGCCAGTTAGGGCCACACAGTGAGACCTGTCTGAAAGAAAGAGTGTGGGGGGGAATAAAGGAAAAGAAAGAAATAATAAAGGGAGGGAGAGAGGGAGGGAGGGAGGGAGGGAGGGAGGGAGGGAGGGAGGGAGGGAGGGAAAAGAAAGAAGCCCAACACATTCTGATTGAGGTGAGGGTTGGAGGAACCAGAGCCCTATGACTAGAACCCAGACAGCAAGAATGTCTCTGCAACCTGATGACCGGACAGGGTCTCATATAACCCAGGTTAGCCTCAAATCCATAGTGTAGCTAGGATGACTTTGCATATCTGATCCCTTGCCTCTACCTCCTCAGTTCTGAGACTCCAGGTCCCCAACACTCACTGTTTATGCAGCACTGGGGATGGGACCGCATACACACCAGGCAGCCCCTTTGTTCTCAGAGTTGTGGCCCAGCCAGCCCTGACCTCCATTATTTTAAACAAGCAATGGCAGACCAGGACTCTCTTCTTCCGTCTGACCTGAGGAGGGAGCCAGGCTTTCTCAGCAATCTGGCAAGGGCTAGGCCCTGAGCAGGAGAGATTTATAGGTCAGAGGCTCCTAGGCCTCCCAGGAGGAGGAGCAGTCTTAGTGCTGTGGGTGCTGGCAGCTCTCTGGCCCAGGATGTTCCCATAGGAAACAGAAGTGTGGGAAGCACAGCTCTGGGCAAAAGAAGGGCTCCTTTGGGTCAGTTACACAACTGACCCAGGGAGGTTGCCTGAACTTGCCATGGCTGGGGATTTCTGTTTCCTCCCTAAGCCCAGTCTTTGAGAGAGCCAGGGAGGGGTTGGTGGGATGGCTCAGAGGGTAAAGGTGCCTGTGTCAAACCTGAAGACCTAAGTAACCTTGGGGTCCAAATGGTGGAAGGAGAGAACTGACTCCCACAAGTTGTCCTTTGAAATCAATAAATGTAATTTATAAATTTCTAGAGGGAGAGCAAGGCCTTTTGCCCCACCACACACCTCCTTGTCCACTCGGGTCCTTGTTATTCACGGCTGTGAAATTCACAGGACATTAACTCAAAGCAGTACCTTTTGGTACTTAGGATATTCACATCATACGAGTACCACCTGTATAGAGTTCCAGAACATTCTGTCATTCCCCAATAAAACCCTGCGCCCATCAGGCCATCACCATCCATCAGCCATTCCCACTCTCTCTCGGTACCCATAACCTCAGTCTGTGTCTGTGTGCACACACATGTTGACCTGCTCTGGGTATTTCACACAGCACCTCCTCTTGTGCCTGGCTTCTTTCATGTTTGGGAGGGTTATCTGATTTGTAATTATATTGCACCTTTATTCTGTTCACAGCCAAGTAATACTCCCTTGTATAATAGACTACATTTTCTTCATCCACAGATGGAAGGGTGGATTGTTCCAGCCTTTGGGATGCTGCTCTGGACTTTCACATACAAGTTATTACTTGAGTCCTTGCCATCAGCTTTTCAGATCTCATCTGAGAGTCAGCACCTCCATGATACCATCTCTGCCTCCACACCTCTCTATGGCTGGGACAGTGTCTGTCTGCTGCACACCTCACCTGCAGGGCTGCCCTGGACAGTGGTACAAGTTTCATATTGTCTGACTACAGGGGGAAATTGTTGGGCATTTGTATGTTCATGAAAACAAATGGCCTGCAGATTGAAGAAAAGCATCTTGAGAAAGAAGTGTTTTTTCTTAATTCTGCAAAGGCTTCATGTTCTCCCTGGCTCCCTAATGTAGCAACTAACCTCCCCATGGTCATTGTTTAACTTGTTAGTTTTTCAGTACATTTTTGGAAAAATGTATATGGCATATAGTGTTGTCCTTGTTTTTGTTGGAAAAAATATATATACAAAGGCCTATGTAGCATTATATTAACATTCACTTCAAAGAGGAGGCGAAGGAGATATCCATTGTCTGATAGATGGATCTGAAGATGTGGTATGTCCATTCAATGGGCTAGTCTCCAGCCATGAAAAGGGGAAGTGCCGACACATGCTCCAGCAGGCGTGAATCTTGAAACAACTACACCAAGGGAAAGAAGCTGGTCTCAGAAGGTGACTCATTCATGTTTTTTTTTTCCACCTTACTTGTCCATAACAGGCAAACTTGACTGCTTGCCTGGGGCTGGGTGAGAATGTGGAGTGACCTCAATGAGCACAAGATTTGGGGGGAGAAGGATAACAAATTCTAACTCAATTACACTGACAGCTCCATATTGTGCACTAATGACCTGTGACTTGCATATTTATTTATCTACTTTAGTTTTTCAAGACAGGGTTTCTCTGTGCATATTCTTGGCTGTCTTAGAACTCTCTGTGTAGACCAGGCTCACAGAGATCCACTTGCCTCTGCTTCCCAAGTGCTGGGATTAAAGGCATGTGCCACCTTCCCTGTCCCCACAATAAAGTTTTTTTTTTTTAATTAACTTTGTACTCCTTCCTTTTTGTTTGTTTGTTTGTTTTTGAGACAGTTTTGTAGCCCAGGCTGACCTCAAACTCACAGTTTTCCTGCTTTTACCTCAGGCGCTGCCACCACACTTCTTATACCCCCAGGTCTAAACTCTGCTGTACACTAGACCCTGGAAACACAAGCCAACGAAAACCTCTGTTCCTTGCTTCTACTTAGCTAATGGCAGAATGTGGGATCTGTGGTAGTTTTAATGAAAATGGCCCCTAGAGGCTCATATATTTGAATGCTTAGTCCCCAGTTAGTAGAACTGTTTGGGAAGGATTAGGAGGTGTGACCTTTTTTGAGTGAGTGTAGGTCACTGCAATCAGGTCAATTGCAGTCAGTGTAGTCTTGTTGGAGGAAGTGTATGTGGGGGTAGCTTTGAAGTTTCAAAAGCCCATACCAGGGCAAGTGTCTCTCTCTGCCTGCAGATCAGGTTGTAAAGTTCTCAGCTGCTATTCCAGCACCATGCCTGTCTGCTTCCCACCATGATGATCATGGACTCACCCTCTGAAACTATAAGCAAGCCCCAGTCAGATGCTTTGTTTTATAAAAGTTGCTGTAGTCAGAACACTGACTAAGACTGACTAGAGTCAGGTGGGCAAAGATGTGACTGAGGACTATAGCCACACCTATAGCCAGGACAAGCAGCAGTGCACAGACCCCGGGACCGTGGCTCCCCAGAATGGCAAGAAACTTTCTAGACTTTGTTTATAATTGAACTATATCAAGGGTATGTAGGCATGCAGAAGGGATGGGGGTCACATGGGGATGATCAGAGCATCTCTGGCCTGACTTAAACAGCTCAGTGGCAGGAAGAAGATAGCCTTGGCACCTGTGGGTAATGACAGCCTTACTGTAACTCAGCTTCTAGCTGAGGGTTTTGGGTCCTAGAACTGATGTGGGATTTCCCTCTGTATGCTGTGGATATCATCGGTTAATAAAGAAACTGCTTTGGACCTATAGCAGGGCCGAACTTAGCTAGGCGGGGAAAAACTAAACTGAATGCTGGGAGAAAGGAGGCAGAGTGAGGGAGAAGCCATGTATCTCAGCC